TTAGAGAATTTGCTTGCCTCCTCAAATCTAAGATCTTCCCCATGCTGAAAGGGTCATCACGGCTGTGGAAGATATCAAAGGCCAAGCCTGGGATTCCACAAGCAGAACAATTAGGGGAAACAAATGTGTTAAAAGGTGCAAGCAGCAACCAACACAAGTATCAACACTTCACTTAACATATTTTTGAGCTTCAGAGTGTGAGCACGTGGCATTGATCTTAGACTGTTGTATTCAACTAGCGGCGGCACTCAAGCTGAGAAACATTCGGATTCGTGATCTGGATACTGGCCTGCTCGCCACTCCAATTGCGACGGGAAAGGACCGAAAAGGAATTGAAATAGGCTTCCAGGAGTGTGTTTGAAAAACACCGTAACTAGCTTCCATGGTTTTATCCTTCTTCCAATTCGGCCTTTGGACAGGTGATTGGTTAGAGAGCCAGTGAAATGCAACATTGCCGCTGCTCCAGTGCTTTCATGTCCCAACAAGCGCATCCTTCTACTGAGCGTACTTTTTTGTTGATATGTTTTGCCAGAGTCAGATTTGGATCGGCGTGGCAAAGCAACACTTGAGGGTGGATTGAGAGAGAGGCGTGCTGTGTTGTGGTAAATCATTGAAGGCAGAATGACACAGGCAGTCCATACATTGCACAACAAGCACATTCTTTTGTGCCGTTGAATTCAACAAGCCAATTAGTGAACCCTATTCACACATGTGTCGACACCGAGACACCACCAAAACACAACGACACCACTTAGATGCCCGTCGACCCCCCGACAGGACACGACAGGACAATGACTGAAAGACACACGCACACACAACCGACGGGAACTAAGATCGGATCTGATTCTCTGGAAGCGCCCTCCGGGCCTCCTCCGGGCCTCCTCTGGGCCTCCGTGCCCTCGAATAGACCCTCAAGTGGTAGCACTATTCTAGTCAGCCAACAATGAAGACATTGCGCCGCGCCTTTGCAAGCTTCACACAAGGAGAAAAGGTCGCTTCCGCCGTGAACATGTTTCAGCAATCCTCAGGAATGCATTGGCAGTGTTTTGTTTGATGAATATCGGTTTAAGTCAACTATCTACTGACAACAAGGTCAACCAAACATAGGCCTTTTTTTGGTGGGATAAGGTGCAGCATGGCTTGTCCAACATAAAGCTAACACACTACACAAGCAACGTAAACGCGTTCCATTTCTTTTGCAAGGCACCTAAAAAGCTCTTGACATCGTTGTACATGTGGGGCAAATGTACCTGGCAAACTTGACAGAAGTGGCCTGTTGGCAAACGAGAAAAACACGAGCGCCAAGCCGCGGTTTCACCGAGGTGCAGGGGTGAAGTTCAGCCCGCGGCCGCCACTCTTCGTATGATCCTTGAAGCCCATCTGACCTGCGGTGTGGGCTTCGTCTACAAGTGTTCCGGTGTGGGCCCATCTCCGTCCGTCAGAGCGAAAATCTCTTCCCCTCTTCCCCAAGAAGGCACACATGTGTGCTTGCGATGGCTTGCGTCTTCTTGCGGTCTTGCCACACATTTTCCCCAAATCTTCCCGCGTGAGCTTGCCACATTCCCACATCACGCGGTACATCTCGTCGACGTTACCGGAGGATAAATATGCCAAATAGCCTTAGAGGAACAAAAGCAGGGGCACAAGAAGCTCTTAGAAACAAGTGCATCGCTTCTAGTAACAAGTGCCTCACTAGTAGTAACAAAAACATATAGACTCTTAGCGCTTTAACCATCGACGGCAAACTCTTGTCTAACACTCTCGTCTCACAACACTCAACGACATGTAATCTGTAACGACGGTCTGCTGACGGCAGAAAATCATTCGAATGGGAATGAACAGGGCTTGGCCGAGAGCGACTGGAAAATGGAGGCTTTCATAGGCTTTCCATGTCGATCTGCACTGAGATGTTCCATTTATGGAGCCAATGAAAACTTTCTCTTTTCAGCAGAAAGTCACGAAGTCTTTCAAAACACTTCTACCGTCTTTTAGTCTATTCTACTTTCTTCTACCGTCTTCTTTGTATATTCTTTTTCCTGCCCAGAGTCCTTCACAAATCGCAATGTCATCGGGAGCACTATTTGTGTGCAGCTTTTGATGCCACTGCTCGATAAATTTGCATTCAATGCCTGAGACAAATAGATGGCCCCTAAATGCAGCTACATGTGAATTCAGCTTCCGACCTGTGTCAATCCTAGTCTTGGGTGCAGTACTTGAAGAGGCAAAGCTATGTTGGTCATGTCCGTCTCAGTGTCTTGCAGCACCCACACCTGGACGGTGACCCTCTTTGATGCCATGGGTTCGCATGATGTTCAAGATACCTCAGGTTTCACCAGGCAAAAGGCTTGGTCCAATCGGGGCACGAAACGGTTTCAGTTTGACACTGTGGCACCGTTCATTGCAGATTTTCACACTCATACATTGTACATGCAATGGAGGCCATCGCTACTAGGGTGGAGGTCGTCACTAGTAGTAACAAGAAGCTACTAGTAGCAAAGCTACAAATCTACTTTATGACATCTACGCATATCCATTGGGTGACACGGCACCATGTCGAATAGCGTCTCCTCCACCAGAGCTGCCTCGAGGTACCTGAGTGGCGAGGCCAAATGGCGATGTGAAGCTTTTCATCGGGTTTGTCGGAACCGGAGTCACAGCCCGTTTTGCGCACAAATAGGACACGAAGCTTTGGGCCGAAGATGCGAAAAGCACGGTGTTCGTTTGTCGTTTTTCTGAAAAGTTGATTTGTAACCAGCCTGAGCTCTATGACTGGTTGGTAGGTACGTGACAAGATCATTTTCTCAGATTTTGATGAACGCACGCATAAGCACGGAGGTCACATCACGTTGCAAACGAAGCAAATCCGAAACCAAACTATTCAGCTCAGTAGCTGCTTTGACCGCAAGTCTTAACAAAGTCCTGCCGAGCTGTGGTGATGGTATTTTAGTCGACAGGTCGAGTGAATCGAGTGAGCCGACCTTGGATATTTTTTCAAAAGGAAGTTGGAAACAGCAAATCAGTGAACCGATAGTCTTTGAAGTCAATCCACACGAATCAGAATTTGGAATTCTCTGTCAGTACAAATCAGCAGATCAGCCAGATCAGTGCATTTGATTGATTCTGATCCGATTCCTTACTGGCTTAGATTGCAACATTGGTGTGACGATGAGCATATGTTAAATATAAAAACATGCATCTGTACATAACTTATGTGACTACACATGGTTTCGGCAAGCAACACGTCAAGCGCATGCCTCTGAACAAAAATGCAATTCTCGGTAAATCAAAGGCAAGCAGAGTAGTGGCACAAAGTAGTTCTCTCCAATTTGCACTTTTTCAGGACACGAACGCTGAACGCTCTTCTGTCTCCTGATGCGTGGATCCTGAGCATTGGACACAGCTGCACTCATGACACCACCAATGCGCTCCTGCGCATGCGCCATGTCCTCCAAGAGCAAGAACATGGACTTATATAATATAGTAATATATATCATATAGTCCTCTCAAAGCTCATTCAACCGAACAAACCAAAGATTGGTATTCCTTGGACCGATTGAATGCACAAGAAAAAGTGCAAACTTGCAGTGCACAGTTTTTCTGCGACTTGACGGCGTTTGCTTTCCGACATAGCTAACGCCGTCCTAACAAGAAATGGTGGACGATTGCAACTTCGCTGCACGGGTGCACCAATAGAGAAAACAGGTAACGCGTGACGACATGAGAAGCAATCGGAAGATACACTCCACATGGGCTTTCAGCTGGGCAACTTCTGAATCATTTTGAATCAAACCCAGGTGTGGAACACAAAGGCACAATTTCTCTTTTTTCACACCACACCCATCTAGACCCGTTTTGAATAACATTGTTGACTCCACACTCTGTGAAGTGCCGAAGTGCCAGCGCCTTGGGCTGATATCCCGACTTTCGATACCACTCCAGAGCTTTAGCATCAGCCAAGCCTTTGTACAGCTTCGTAACAAATGAAAAATCGCCCATGTTTTCAAATAACATTTTTTTCAGGTGAATCAGCTTCTCCAAATTACTTACAAATACTTACAAGGTAAGCAACACACAAAGAACAAAAACAGCTTTGTAAGCACTGGAAACACCAGAATTAAGTCACGTCCAAATCCTAATGCCTTAGTGTCGGACATAGGACTGTAGCAATCCATGCAGCTGCCTCAAAGTCCACCTCTGCCGCCCTGACTTCGAAGCCGATTCGGCGTGACCAAAAACGTACCAAAATAGATCAAGTGTAACCGCAAACCAGCAGAAACTATACCCAAGCACTGCCACACACACACAACACTTTGTGGCTTGGAGGGCTCCAAAGACAAGTTAACCCCAGTTGCTTCCAGTGCCTTCAGCTTTTCCACAACCTGTTCCCGAAGTCGAGTGCCAAGCAGCAAAACATCGCTGCAGGCACAAAGGCGCTGGAATTGCGTGAAATGCTGGTAGCGGGTTTCAGCCTGACCTTGGTGCAGTTTTTCAGCGCGTTTGGCTGAGCAGCTGAGGGGAAGTTGAGCTGTGGATTCCAAGCCTTCGACTAGGCAACTGTGTGCCCGGTTGGAGAGGTATGACAACAATTTGTCGACAGTTGAGACTGAAAGCCGGGACGAGTGATGAGTAGACGTCAAGAGTCAAGGTGTATAGTTCGAGTACAACCACCGCTTATGCAACAAGCGCGGTCAACAATCATAACTGCGCCGTCTTTCTTCTCTTCTATTTGTTTTCTCATTGCCGACTGAGCTTTGAAGAGATATTCCTCTGTCCGCGATCAGTCCGATGAGAAATGAAGCAAAACACAGCTCAGGATGAAAATGACACAGCCGGCAGTTGATCGTGTTGGTCGCACGGTCGGGTTTGCTCGCTTAAACGGGGCTGGACAGCTTTCTTGAGACGAAAACAATGCTAAGATCTGTTGAGGCGCAGCTGACATGCACGTAGTCCAAACTTGAAAGCTTTACAAGATAACATAACACAACAAACGAAAGCCAGCTTTGTTGCAGAAACTTTGGACCTAGACACAAAACCTCTGTGACAGGCTCTGCTCGGATGTTGCAGTCTGTGGCACTTCCTCGCCTGTAGCCAAAACCTGATGTCTCAGGAACACCAAACAGCAAGTGATGACGTGCATTAGAACATGGTGACATGACGACCCTGAGAGGTGCGGCTGTTGTTGTTTGCTTTTTATCAAGTGCTCAACGACTTCTTAAACACTGGTTCCGACTTCATGTGACATGTGTGGGAAAGTTCGCCGTTTGCGGTATGCCGTGGCAATGCCGTGGCACTGGCACCCAGAAGTTGTCACCGCCGTCGCGCTTCAGCCACAGCTCCCCGGAGCCGAACTTGATATACCTCGAGGCACTTGCATGTGCAGTTCCCACTGGATTGACTGCGCTCCTCTGGGCGAACTGTATCTTGAACTGTCAAACAAAGCAGTTCTTGCCCAAATCCCCCAAACCATTTTGCTTTTATTGCTTTCTGGGCTGAACAGTGCAGCATCATGCAGCATCTAGTCTTGGCAATGACTCACCCAGGAGCCCACCCAGCCCACTATTGAGAATGGAAAAATGCCGTGTTCACAAATTATGACTTGGAAATTTGGAAAATGGTGTACAGAAAACGGAATCAAACGGACAATGGCATCAAACGGTCCGAGGCACAACACGAACGAGAGCCATCGTGGTGCCTTTGGTGCTTGGGCACGCTTGAAGGACAGCACAAGGCGTGCCTCGAGATGGAACTTGACTAGCTAAGTTTTCTTCCGAACTCCAGTGAAGTTGCTCAGTTGCTTCGCTACCCTAAGATTCAGACAGCAAATTCCCCAAAACGGAGTGTTGTCACCTTTGATACCGTACTTACTCTTCAAAAGTCAAGAGTTCATTGTTCAAGAGCCAGATGGATCGGAGGTCCATCTACACCAACAGCCAAAGTTCACTTACATTATCTTACATTCAAATCATGCAAGTTCACTTACGCAGAAATGATTCCTGCGTGAGACTGGAAAGGGCCTGTCCAGGCACCACTACACGGGCGGCCACATCATCGAAGGCTTTGCAGTTTGAAGGCAGCGTATCTGAAATGTCGTGGAATGCATCGCTACGAATCAGCTGCGTTCCCGAGAAATCAAAATGATCAAACAAGTATAGGTGTCTTCATAAATCTCACTTTCTACATCTTTCTACCATGTTCATCCAACGATGGAGTTGACAACTTGATACCATGTGCCATTTGCCATTTGTCTTCTCTCTCTGGCCTCATTCGTTTCGTCTTTTGCGACACCGAAACGGATGACTCGGTCCCCACCGATGGGTTGCCACTCGCTGCCGGCACTCGGCGCGGCGCCCCAATGCAACGAGACCTCTGCATCCTCTGAGAGCTCCAGCAAGGCCTAGCAATCCAAAACCGCACGGAAACACATTTTTGGCAATAAATTCAGATGCAAATTTCAATCACCACATCAACATCTTTCATTGTTGCATATTTTTAACAGGAAACAACCAGCAAGAATGCCTCAAAGGAAGCCTTCATTTGGAAACTCGAACTACTACACAAACGCCAAAGCCCCTTTTGTGGCAAGGAGCAGTTAAGACAGAAACAACCACTGAGAGCACCGAGAGCTTCTTCTTTGGGTGGGCATGTATGAAGTATGTAGAAATATGTCTTAGTCCGCCTCAAAAGGCAAAACTATACACTTATTGCTTTCAAAATAAGAATGGAGCAGGGTAGGGGGCCGCCATTTGCAATTTCCTGCTGCACCCTGTGTGCCATGTGTGCTCTAGGCCTCAAGGAAGACGTTGACCTCATCTGCTCCAACCGTTGCTGTCCATTTGATGGAGCCGAGGCCCTGCTCGACCTGCATCTCACCAGCCTCACGCCGCACATCGCCGCACATCGTCGCACAAGCGCTGTGCACATCTTTCTCATGCGGTGAGATTTCGCGACAGTTCGACAACACTTTCATGGATCACTTGTCTGTATTTAATTGTCTGTTCATGATTGCTCGACACTTCCCACTCTTTCCTGCCTTGACAAAGAGGTCACTACTGTTGACCATCGCAGGTGCCTTTGCTCGCCTGCGACGAACCACAGGTGCGGAGGTGTCAGACTTAGCAGCTGAGGCAACCTTAGCGAAGCGCGAAGCCAGACGTAAGACCCGAAAGGCCCAACACTTTAGGCCAAGAGGTATAGGACATAGGTCAAGCATTGGTCAAGCATATTGCAAGAAAACCTAGGCGATTACGGCGATGTTGGATGTTAGAAGCGCTGCTTTTTGCGACAGAAGCGCTGCTGCTTTCGCTTTCTCAAGCTCCGGCCACGTGGGCTCGCGAGGTGCAACCCTTGCTTCACCTCCAAGACCGCCACCGCCCACTTCAGCCGCCAAGGCAGCCACGTCAACCACAAAGTTTTCACCACCGGGGCCTTTCCTGAGTCGAGGACGAACACTTTAGTTTGGAACCCGAAGGGAACCCGAAGGGAACCCGAAGGGAGCTTTCGCTCTCGGTGAATCGCTCGATGTTCCACGCACACAAAGGGGTTATTCCGATGGAGTATTTTCACCCCTGAACTCGAAGGGTTCAAGTCATCAAGCTTTATCAATCCGTCGATCACTTCGAACAGGGTTCAGCCAGTGTGTCTGGCCACCCACCTCAATGACCAGCACAAAGGTGATCTTCTCAGGCACCTAAGTGAACGGGACTGACTCGAAAGATCCTTTTTGACGCCTCTAAGTACATCTTAGGATTTCGCAGAGGCTGTGAAAGGTTCTTTAATTCGTTTGTAAACAAAATTCATCCAAATTCCGCTTTGCTCTTCAACGGCGCTGTCACTTCGTTTTGTCAGACAACTTTCCTCTCGCTCGACACTCCCGCCTGGCCGCTCCGGAAGGTCATTGTGACATTGCCATCGCCGTTCAAATGGGCACTTGAGGCGGTTCCATCGCAGTCCTGAAACCCAACACCCAAGGCACTAAGACCTATTTAAGGTGTCCTGATAAAGAAGAACGAAACAAATCAGGCTAATCGAAACATCTAGTAGCTGGTTCCTTTTCGAAGTTTCCCTCAGCTGGAGTTGAACAGTTTTATCAGGTAAAGCGAATGATTAAAGGAATCGGGGGACACGATGTAATGCTTACATATCCGGACTCATGACTTGGCTAGTCCAAGCATCATGGACCCCTATTATGTGGTATATTCCCTATGTTGTTCTTTTTGCAACTGCGGGCCAGTTGCAGAATTACTGTATCACGTTGAATTACAAACAAAGGCATCCACAATTGCAATTTTTAGGCAACAAACCTAGGTATCAGATCTGGTAACGGCTCATTTCTTGTTCAATATGTGCCTGGGTCCTAGTGTCTGCGGTCATCAATCGGATTTTAGACGTCGTTCCGCCTGCCGACTATGATAGGAGTGTGGAATTCTTCAAACAAATCTAGTTGGACGGTAAGAACCGTTGTTTCTTGTGATGTTGTCTTGATTGTGTCGGTCTGCCCGAATGAAGACCCGGTGATCCACCCCAACGAGTTTTGTGAGAACAGAAACTCCTTCAACGCTCCCGGTGTTTTGCGTCCCGCACTGTGTGCCCGTTTCGCCTGAGAGCCATCTGGTTGCACAGCAGGCGCTTGCCAAGCACCATCCGCATTCAACACGGCCCAGTGCAAACGCCCTGCAAAGCCTTGGTGCGAGGTCTGCGAAGCGCGGTAAACTTGAACACATTCTTCTCACTTTGGGAACTTGGTCAGCCACCTAGCTCACTATACTTAGCTCCTTCGTGACCCGAGGTGCTTCAAACAAACATTCTGTCCCTGGATGTGGATCTTTATGAAGATCACTGCTATATATTAAGCAATGATGTATTCCCTATCTGGCCTGTGTCATCTCTTTTAACATACACATATTATATATATGCACAGAATCCACACACCACGCTCCAAGACACCGCCGCTGTTGATTGAAAGCATTCTCCGAACGTGTCGGCATTGGAAGTTGAGACTCAGCGGCGCTTTTCCAAAGCCTCCACTTGGATTCACCTTGGTTCGAAACAAAAACGCCAAGACACACAACTCGGAAAAACGCAACCCAAGTCTGTTCATCTCGGATCGGGAAAGCGCCTGTTTAGAGATGCCACAAACTGCAGAACATGATACACATTTGGTCCGGGAACATCAGCCAGAATGAGTCAAAGACCGCCGAAATGCTGCTCGGAAGCTGCAATTTCTGCACCTCCATCAATTGGATAAGTCGGCATTGCCTTGCGTTTCCCAGAGGGAAGTATAGAAGCGTGGAGTGCCTAATCAGCACTTCCCAAAACTGAGTCTGGATACAGCTGCGGCGAGAAAGATGAAGCGAGAATTGGACTAAAAAACGTGTCAAAAACTAGAGAAACTTTCTTTTTGTCAAGATCAAAGCTGGGATGCAAGTGTCGTGAGGAAGCCTCCGTGGTCACAGGTTAAGGAATGACAGAATCTTACAAAATGAGTTGAAAAAGATCGTGACATTTCAATGCTCTCCTGAGTCCATCTGCTTGACTCTTGCCGTCATCGCTCCAGATTTTCCACTCAGATTATTGATGCTGAGACATGCTCCCATAGGTAGAATCTTCCGGACTCATCTCTTCTGCTACCCTGGTGGATTGTCCTGCGAGCATTGCTTCATGACCTTGTGAGAAGCCTCACGTTAGGTTGGGATACCTCAAGACAAGGACATCGAAAAACATCAAGAGCAAAGTTGACAAAGTTCGACAAAACAGTCCATCTTCAAGGCTTGATGGCTTTCCGATGAAGTGCCGTGTTCTCTGAAAGAGGTCCTGAGGAAACAATCGTGTGATGTGACTCAGGTTTGTGCAAACTGTATCAGATTGTATCATAGCTCATTACAGAGCTCATTGATGCAAGAACGAACTAGCTGCTTGGTCTGACCGTGTGTATCTTAGGTTCCCTAAAACTAGTTTGCTGTGTGGTCTTTACGTAGCTAGCAACAAGTGAAATTGTTGGGGAAGGTGTGCGCAAAGAAGACTTAGTTCAGATTCTTTTCTACGTGCTCACTTTCTCCGAATTTGACAATGCAACAAAAGTACATGTTGAAATTGAATTCGGCCAGGCTCGTAAAAGAGAAATGCAGAAAGAAAGGCGCCAACCAAATTCACGACCTTGGTGGCAAAGTCGATCCTTTCGCATCAAACAGCCAACGTGTTGACAAAATAGGAAATGCCATGGTGAACTGTCGAGACGTGAGATACACTGACAGAAACTCACGAGGACTGAGCAAACACAGCTAAGTTAGCTAAGGCACTACCATGGCTTGCCCGAGTTCAAAAATCCTCGAGAATTGCCCATTCTCATCGACATTCCCGAGCTTTTCGAACATAAAGCCACCCAGCAAGGAACCAATGCTCCCTGAAACAGTGAAAACCTCAGTGCGATGCATCCCATCAGCACAATGTCAAATGCACGTCTGATCGCCAAGGGACAGTGCTAATCGCGGCCTGCATCCGTCCCTGCTCTTCCTCACCCACGAGGCGGCTCTTCAATCCGGCGACTGCAGGTAATGCGAACGTCATAGGCCCAGCGCATATCGCACAGTTCACGAAGGCTTGTGATGGTCGCACAAGGCCTCGGATTGCTTCATGGTGCATGTAGCGGTCAGGCCCAGGGTTACATTGAAGGTTGCGCCTGTAGCATTTCATGTGGGCCTTCCACAAAACTTCTGTCAAAGTTCCGTTTAGCCTGCAAAAGTTGTGGGTTTGATGTTGGACCTCTGCTGTGGTGCTGGAAGTGCGTATGGGGAGCATTGGATTCAGGACATGGTGGCAACTTCAGTTTCAGATTGGGTGATGACCGGAATCCGATTGTGGCATCAGCCCACTCAGTCACCGAGAAAGAAATGAGCAAGCCATGAGAGACTTCGAATGAACGAGGGAGTCAGCCTAGCTGGGTTTGTCAGCGGAGCTCCTGGAGGTGTTGTGAGATTCATGGGATCAGTGAAGGGAGCGCCATGGAGCCTTAGAAGAATCGTGGGGAACACCAAGAGTTTGGAGACATGTGAGAATGACTTCTCGTGAAAACACAAGAAGTGGGGAGTTTGAATACAGGAAGTGGCGACGTCGGGCTCATTTTGGACTTGATGGCGCTGCCAAGATTCCAGAGAAGTGGGGAGCTCAGCTGCAACATTTGAGCCGGGAAGCAGAGGAGCTTTTAAATTTAGAGGCAGAGATTGAAGAGATCACTAAAGATATCACCAGAGATGGACATTGGTGGTCCTTGATACCTTGGATGAGAAGTAGAAATAAGTTTCAAAGGATGAGTTGCAGCGTGCGATGAAGGATTGCTTCTATGTGATCTGCATGAAGGAGTCAGAGACATACCGGAATTTCATGACAAGACTTGACACAGCGTGCAAAGCTCTAGTCCGCAATGGGGTAGAATTACCTGACAGGAGGTGAGAGGATGGAGCCGTCAATGGTGCTGGCAAGTCAAGGGTCTGTCAAGCACCCTGACATCGTCACAGCATTTTCATCACCAAGGAGGACGTCAGGAAGAGGGGAACGTGCGGAAGATAGTTATCGCAAGAACTCGATGGCCTCGAGGGCTGTGAATCAGAAGCATTGGATGCCTTTGAGGCGCAGTTCAGAAGTGAACGCAAGAGAAGAACAGCCGTGGATATCGTTCCACAGCACCGGCGCAGTTGTCAACCGTGAAAGGGAAGATTGAAGATGAAAAAGAAGAAATGCAAAGCGAAGGCATTCCTTTGCAGAAGAGAAGGAATGCCCATTGAAAGGTGGTGACAAAGAAGCAACAGCGACATCAAAAGAAACAACAGCTGGTTGGCAAACAGTTTAAGTTTAGTTCTAATTCTTGCTTCTAATAGCAAACATTGCTCCTAGTAAGTAGTAAGGCCAGGAGCCCCTAGTAGCGTCCTTGCTCCTAGTAGCGATGCCAGGAAACCCGTTCGTAGCGTTCTTGTTAGTCAATAGAAGGAAAGCGCTTTCAGAGTTGCGAAGGTGGAGTTCTTCAGCGAAAGGGACAGTTCTCTCCCGACCAATCTACCGAAAGCACACAGAAGGCGAGGTGAACGAAAGACAGAAGGCTTCGAAGACGGGTGCGGCGAGAGGGTGGCCACTGAGTGCGCAGACCTGGGTGAATATGCTGTGCCAGCTGCCAAACACTGCTTGTCGTAGAACCCTTGTTGGTGAACTGATTTTTCGGATTGAGAGTAGGTTGAATCAGAGGGCTTAAGTGTCCCACTTTCGAAGGGTCCTGGAGACTTGAACCTACCAAATTTGCATTCTCAAGCTGTGAACAAACTTGCGAATTCATGCACTTGACGGCGGTTTGCACTTAGGGATCTCAGGAAGAGTGCATTTGCGGCATCGCATGACAGAGTTGGGAAGTGTAAGAGCACACCTTGAGGATGTTCACAATCCCAGTTTTGCACAAAAAGAGCCCGCAAAGAGAAAGCGAACAAAAATGGTTCGGTCTTCCATCGTCACGTCATCTACGCTTTTGAGCCTGGCTTATTTAGTTTGCACACTTGGAACCCAAACACTTCTGCAATTTCTGTAGTTAATTATGTTAATATTGTATATTAGTGTGGTGTATGTCATTGTAGTATTTGGGCCGTTATTCGGGAGTAGTGTTTGCGCTACGCGTGACAAGAAGGTTGCAAGAAGCGGACTGACTCAACGAGGCTATGGAAGACCAATGCAACACTAAACAAAGAAAGGTGAACATATTGAGAAACTGAGTCTATTCTCTAAAGTCGAAAGGACACACATGAGAGAAGCATGAAACATTATAAAAGCAAACAAACCCGAACCACCAAGTTCATTTCCAGCGAGGTGCCCACAGCAATGAGGGTGTAAACGGTGCTCATTAACCTCCCGAAGGCCATTGCGCCCACTTCGCCGACAAACCAAATGATCCAAGAGAAGAAGAGGGTCATCCTTGGTCAAAAGTCAAGAGGATCAAGGTCATCCTTGACAGAGTATGCGGAGGATCAAGCTGGCAACATAAACAAAGCTCTGTTGTCTCTGGTGCTTCTTTCATTTCAATACTCCAACCCAAAACATGCCGAAGAATACCTTCTCTGTGATATTGCTTGGATTGTTTTGAATGTGCCGTCACTGGTTTCTCTGGGGAGGCCGAAGGTTTCACAGGAATTTTGCACGAGTGGTCCTCAATTCCCACTGGAAGCATCGTGATGCATTGTCCTCTGTTATCCCTTCTCAGTCTTGGCACAAACAGTGCACACCCCGATGGAAACATGCAGAATCACGCGGAATCATGTAGATGGTCTCTTGAAATTTGGCCTCTTACCATCTCTTACCAAGACACACTGACCTTTAATCGTGAAGTCTCCTTCCCCCTGCCAAGTCTCCAAAGGATCATGCTCATATCCCAAAAGAATTCGAAAATGTAGGCATCGTGTGCCGACCAATTCATCCGCCGTTGATAATAGGTGCCCATCATGCGGTTGGTGCTGCTATCCATGAATGCAGCGATTGCTGTCACTATGGACAAGTTTCCTTAAGCAAACGTACAGCCTGCATGGTACAGTGACACGAAGCAAAGCAAACAAACGTGACATCTGAGGAAATCCATCTGGTGCGATCTGACTCTTGGACACTGAGCCCACGATCTGCCAAGCATCTCAAAGTTTTGGTCCTCCACCTAGGAGCGATCGGACGCTACGAACGGGGCTCCTGGCCTTACTACTAGGAACAAGAACGCTACTAGTAACAAAGGGCATCGCTACTAGGAGCAAGGACGCTACTAGATACTGAAGAGATGAGAACAAACCTCGCCTCTTCCCAGTAAGACCCCAAACTGCTTAAACACTCTATAAACTCCATCTCATCTATCGCATGTCTTATGTCGATGTTTGTAATATTTTGTAATGATATTTTAATATATTTTAGATGCTTTTGATCATCTTTGATTCTTGAATCCGGGTGGCAGAATGGGCATGGAGTCCCAGGGCACGAAGTTCCGTGCGCTCAACTGGAAGGATCGTTTCTCAGGTGGCAACGTCTCAGGGAAGAAAACGACCAAGACAAATCCGGTGATCAACGTGGCCTCGAAGCGCACACACGATGCTTCGTGTGATCATTTCTCGATTCACTTTGTGTTTGGCCTTGGAACAGAAATGCAAAGTTCAAACGGCTCCAAGTAGCAAATGTCGCAACAATGTAAGTTTGCTTCATTTCCAAGTGATAGCCCAACAAAAGGCCGATGACATAGGCAATGGTGTCCAACGCACTGATGATTCCCATTCCTCGCTGTGATCATGGTATCCAATTTCTTGATCACTGCATGTACGCATAGGATGCCCATGAACAAAGTGCAACAGCACATGGATTTCGCAGGGCTTGGATGCATTTGAAGTCATTTAGTTTTTGCGGGGAAAGTGTGTGTGTAGGATCATGTAGGATCGCCCTGGTTTTTGGCGTTTGACAGTGATGGACATGGGCCGGTCATTCGCTAACACCATTGGCGCTGCATCAGCGCGAATGAGATCTCTGGAGAAAAGTACGGAAAGAAAAGTGGTTCTTAAAGAAAAGTGGTTGCAGGAAAAAGTGTAGGAAAGTGGTTTCTGGAGAAGAGTGTGGCCAAGTAGAGATTTTTGGAGGCTTGAAAAAGGTACAGAAGAGTGCATGCAGAGGGAAAGTACGGAAGCACCACATTACGCACTTCACCACACCAACATATCCTCACAAAACGACAACCAGAGTGCCACTCGCCACACAGCGCCCGCCTGCCGCACGGTCTTGAGGTCTCAGAAGGTCTACACAGGCGGCATTCAGAACCGTCGTACAGACTTGCGTGTTCATGAAGGGCTGCCTGAGCGAAACGAACAAATCTTTCAAACGTACGTTTTGTGTTTGTACAAATTTTGTATGTTTCCTGATTGCAAAGCGGAAGAAGCAAAGGTGCCAGGCGATGACAAACCAGAAGCTGACATTGAAGAAAATGAAGAGGTCAGCGAAGACCAAGGCCACATTCGAGAGGCAAAAGACCACAAAGAGGGCTTTCCTAGCGCAAAAAAGTATCAATTGAACGTGTCAAAAGGGGACCTGAGAACTTAGAACCAGAATGGGCTTCTTCTTGGAATCCAACAAACCCAAGAAGTAATTATGTACGAAATGTAGGGAAAAAATCAAACCAAAGGACTTCATGAAAGAAATGGAACCTCTTGAACTTAAAACCGAGAGGAAATGCAACCCAGTCATGAAGATGGAATGCCTTCCTGTGGGACCAGGGTCAAACAACTGCTTCTCTCGTTTCTCTGGCAAACAAGGAAAGCTGCTCCGAGAAATAGATGAACATCTTGGCATCTTGTTTGGTTCTCAACTGAGTGCCAAGTAGCTTTCGGCCATAAGCGTCGCTGAGCAGACCAACCAAAGGCAAAGTAAGGAACTGACACAAAGGCATCACCAGGGCTAAAACCGTCAGGAGCCTATTGCCGTCCACCAAAGCCATCTGACAATATGGTGACATGGTGCCTAAGGCAAAATGTCTCTCACACGTCTTGCCTCTCAAAAGGAAGGAATCACCACGCCGCCGCCGCCGACGACGACGACCACGACGACGACCACCACCACCACCACCGCTAACGCGCTGTCGTTAACCTAACTGTATGTTGCTACGAAAAGGGACGCTACTACTGACAACGCTATCTGAATCTGTGCAACTACCTACTTGACCTGATACTGCCAAGCTGCTTATCTGGCACTTGATCTCCGATGGTGGCCTGAGGTCGCCGCTGAAACGGGTTGTCTTGACTCACTTCAGCACCATGCTCTTTCGGAGTTGCGGCACTACGAATAAATTCAGCAACCCTCGCTTCCAGGGAGCAGGTCTGTGTATCTCTGCGCGAAAAAGTTCAAGGTCAGGAAATTGCCCATGGGCAACAGCATGCCAGTACCTGGCCAGTGCTTTCTTGGACTTTGCCGCTCAAGCGGTTTTGATTTATTTCAAGGGCTGTTGCAAAGTTTGTGGTATCGGTATCACCCATAATTGTTCTTACCTTCTTGCTTTTGACCTGTCTTGTCTTCTTTAGACAATACTTCTTTTTCCTTCGTCTTAGAGTCTGTTTTGTATCTCAAAAACAGTGTCTTGTCGAGTTGACATCGAAATCCATCGCCGAGGCTCCGATGGAAGCCATCAACGTCCATGGTACGATCCAACCTGAGGACACAAACGAGAGGACTCGGACCGACTGGAGGACCCGACTGGACGATCCCACACCACACCGATTGTGGGCATCGATGGGCATCGTCCGCACTGGAAGATCTACACTTTTTGGAGCCAAAGGAGAATCTTCATTTTCCGATGCTGACCATCGAACCTCACCAAATGACCAAACATGTCCAAGCAACCCAAAGACCAAAGGAGCTGCAGGCCAGTCTTTCCTGCCTCTTCCATCACGTTTGCTCGTTTTCCACGAAGGGGTGTTTGCTTTCAGATGGTCGGCCCATTTGAGCCGTTCACGCTGCAATTGGGAGGTTCAAAGCAACGAACCAACTTGAGGCCAAGGGGGGGGGCGAAAGCTAGCGCTCCAGAATGGGAAAGTGGAGGGCAGCGAGGTAGGAAAAAACACGGCGCTCTTTTTGGAGGCAGGGGTGAAGAGTCCTTTATATGTGGCTCTTTGCCCGGTTCCTCCTGCGAGAGAAGAGAGAGAAGAGAGACGGAAAGACGAGAGACAGAGAGGAGAGAGAGAGAGAGAGGAGAGAGATGAGAAAGAGATGAGAGAGATGAGAGAGATGAGAGAGAGAGAGAGACAGTGAGACAGTGAGACAGTGAGAGTGAGCGAGTGCGGCCGCAAGATACGCAACGCTAACCGCATGCCAAAGAGCGACGACAGGACGGAGTCGAACTTGCGACGAAGAGGGAGGAGGGAGGGAGGGAGGGAAGGTGGGAGGAGGAGAGGGGAGGTGGGGAGAGGGGAGGTGGGGAGAGGGGAGG